GTGATTATTGATACTTGATGGATTGGGTTGTACTTTTCAATTTGGTGGTCTAATTGGGAGTATGGTTTTATACCGTTGGATTGTGATTTTCCAACTTATTTAGTGTGATTTAATTCTAACCATTGATATCTAAGTTTCCATAATAGGAAGGGAGACTTAGATATGCTTATTTGTAGAGAAGTCGTCCCCCTCTGTTGTTGTTATATATAGGGGTTTTAAAACCGTTATTCAGTCCTATCGTATTGACAACTTTCAAAAGGGGGTAAAGCGCTCTATTTTTTTTCAAATCTCTCAAAGGGTCATAAGAAATTCTCAAAGGTATATGTGCGTTAATCATCAATTAGGTACGAGCCTAAATTCCCTATTTAATTAATTGTAATATTCTTGATTTCTACTTGTGGATTATTTGTTTAAACTCAACATAGGGTTTATGAGTTTCCTAATTTTTCTAAATAAAAATTGGTTCAAAAAAACTAATGCCTGTGTCAGAGCTCCTAGTTTTGAATTTCTTGAACGACGGATTTTGGGTGCATTTCATGCTTTTGTTAAGGGGCTAAAGGATAGGACCCCTTCTTGTCTTGGTTATTTATAGGGAATTTTTTTTTTTCTTTATTTTTTTGGTTCAAAACACGGATTATAAATAAAATAATACTGTATAGTCTGTATTAGTGTTTAGTAATAACCATACCTTAATTACAATTTGGACAAACATGCCTAACAGGGTACTATGGCTAGTCTCATTTAGGCATTTATTATCAGGCTACATTAATTAATTTAAGAGAAGCATAATCCTAGAAAACTAAACCATTAGTGCATTGTTCTAAAAAAGTTCAGATTAGTTGGGAGTTAAGGACAAATCGGACCCTAATTCAACATCTAAATTGAATCTAATGTGCACTTTTAAATTAAAAGGGAAAATTATACATAGGTAAAGTTAGGAGTTCTAAATAACAAAATGATCTGTTTTAAAAGTTTATTTTTTTATTTGATAAATTTAAACAAAATAATTACATATACATCAAGAATTATTGTTAAAGTCCCAAATACCCTCTTTGTCAATAAATATGACTTGCTTTTTTGGTTGTCTAGAAATATGCCTCTTTAGATGCTGCTTGTTTCCTTTTTTAATAAAATTGAATAATTATCAATATATATATATCAAAAAAAAATTCCCGTTTGTAGTGAGGTCAAATTTACAAGATTATAGAATAAAATAAAACAGCAAAATAAAATAAAACGTACCAATAAAAACCTATATTAGCTAAGAACACAAAGGATATTACCCGATCCCAACAAAATAATGTAGCAAGTACTAATATTTTATTCTCAAGACAATGGTCATCTTTACTATAAAGTCAAAAAAATAATTGAAAGAAGTATTCCATGCACCAATAAGTCATATGCCTTGCACCATATACAATATTGGTACACCATAAAATCTTATTACAATTTTTATGTTTTAAAGAATGTTTTGTGTCTTTAATTAATTAGACTTTTACACCATAATATTGGTACGTTTCTTTTATTTTGCTTTTTTATTTTATTCCATAATTTTGTAAATTTGGTCTCACTACAAATTATATATGAAATCACTTTGAAAGGATAATTCAGGAAACTTTCTTTGATATATATGTATATTGATAATTAAGCAATTTTATTAAAGAAATAAACAAATAGCAATTAGAGACATACATCTCAACAACAAAAAAAACAAGCCAGATTACAAAAAGGGTATTTGGTACTTTAATAATAATTCTTGATGCATTTGTAGTTAGTTTGTTTAAATCAATCAAATTGAAAAATAGACTTTTAAAATAGATCATTTTGTTATAACTCTACCTATATGTAGTTTTCCCAAGATAGCGATAGGTTCCAAGCATGCGACATGCCACTGTCATCCTAGCTGAGGTGGTCATTTGTTTAAAGAAACGCTTAGCTTTTGAGATCGATCAAGGACAATTTAGTTGGTGATGAAATTAAAAAGCTTTGGTTCTGTTGATGCATGGGTGCATGATGGGTAATTTTTCTAGTTGTGTTGATGGGGTTGGACTATAGTGTGAGATATAAATTCTATAATTGGTAAATTTTGGTGGTGTCAAAACAAGTTCGATCGAGTTGTAATTTCAAGTTACCATATCAAGATCGAGATTGGCTACGGATTGGAAGGTTGTTCAAATATACTATACTGAGATCGTCGAGAAAGGAAAGAACAACACTTTAGGAAAAAGTCTAAAAAGGTTAGGACACGTTCCATACTTGGTATATTTTTAGAACTTACCAAAAACTGTGTTTTCAGACCTTTAAAGCCTTAGGATTCAAGTCTGTCAAACTTGAACCGGTTCAAGCTTCTTGGAACCGGTTCAAGCCTTCATCATTGGCTTAGAATTTTTCACTGTCATTCTTGAACCGATTCAGCCTTTCTTGAACCGGTTCAAGGTCTTCTAGCAGGTTAAGGAAACTTTGTAATCCTATTCTGCTTTCTTTCCTAGTTGGTTTAGAATTAAAGCAAAAGTCCTATACACAAAATTTCCTCTATTTTCTGAAGCATTAAGTCTCTGAAAATTCTATAAACCCTAATATTCATATAGGTTTTGTACGGCTTTTGCATTACAACTTCATTATTCATAAAAGCCTTAAGTAAATTATTTTTGCAGAAAATCCAAGTTGATTTTTTTGTCAGTCTTTTTAGAACATACACATAAACACAGAGTGAGTTTAGAGTGTTGTTCAAATCCTGATCATGATCAAAGTCTCGCATCTACAACGATCAGAGAAAAACAAATCTACTTCTATATCGAATTCAGATATTGAAGAACAGAAGTAATAGCGATCACACTTTGAAAGGGTCAAAGCATTCGAGAAGTGTTGTTTGATCTACCTACAACCCTTTTAAGATCAAGAGTAAGCCTGAGGTCAAGCGTTATTGGACGGGATGTCACAAAGCCAGAGGATTTTCAGTGATTAGTGTTTGGTAGAACGATAAGGTGTGAGTCAGAGTCAAAGTTCAATGTACGTACTTTGTTTCATACATAGTGGATCGGTTTACTTTGGACTGCACAGTCCATAAGGTTTTTCCCACACAAATAATTGATCTATTTTACGAATTGGGGTTTCCTCGCTAAAAATCATGGTGTCATCTCTAACTCTTACTTTCCTTTATTTTATCTTGCATGTGATTAATTAATTAATTACTAAAACAAGTATAGATTAGAAAGACACAGACCTTTTTCTAAACATACAAAACCTTCTAAATATTCCGCTACGTACAACTCACAAATTGGTATCAGAGATAATTCTACACATTAAGTTGATCTTTGTGGAAAGTTTTATTTGATTTCAAAATTTTGTTTTTATCATTTATTATGCGTTGAAAAAATGTGGTTCTAATCAACGTGGTCCTTTATTTGAAGAAAACAATTACAATTTTTGGAAATCAAAGATGAGAGCTTATTTGCAAAATTCAAGAGGTAAAACTTGGGCTATTGTTAAATCTGGTTATACACCACCTACAGAAGATAAATTGTGGATGGTAAAGTAGAAAAAGTTTTAAAAGATGTCTTTGCTTTTATTGTTGTTGAAACTGAGCATAATAATGCTAATGGAAAAGCTTAATATGCAATTATTAATTATGTTGTTTCATCTGAATATGCTAATTTCTTATTGTAAAACTGCTAAAGACGCTTGGAATATTTTGCAGGTTAGTCATGAAGGGACTTCAAAAGTGAAGTTATCCAAAATTCAGATGCTTTCTCATAACTTTAGGAACATCGTGATGAAACAAGATGAATCATTTTCTGATTTTTATTCTAGTCTTCTTGAAATTATTTCTGAACCGAGACGTATACTTAGGCAAAAGAGTTAATGATAAGAAAATCTGAGGAAAAATCTAAAGGTCTTTACCTAAAAGATTTCAAATAAGAATAGAAACTATCACCGAACATTGGGATTTGAAAAATTTTGAGATGCAGAATTTTGATACAAATCAGAAGGAGAAGAATCTTACTTTAAAATCAATACAGGTTGAGAATTCTATTGATGACAACTCTGATGATAATTTTGCTTTTCTGTCAAGGCAATTCAATCAGATATTGCAAAAACAATAGATTAGAAGGAATGGAAATATAGTCAATCCTCAAAATTTTGACAAGGCGTCGAAATTTAGATTTAATGAAAAAAAACTGAATTCACTTGCTAGAATTGTGGTGGCAAAGGTCACCTAGCCAATATTTGTCCTAGTCCTAAGAAAGATCAAAATGATAGGGATAAAGGAAAAGTAATGAAAGTTTCTATTTCTGATTATTCTGCTTCTAGTAATAATGACTCTCCTCATGATAATTGCAATGATTTTTTCTTATATCACTCTTCTTAAAAAAGGTCCTCATATTGTTACGTTATCTACCTCTGATATTTCAGATAATGAAGACAATGAAGTTCTAGATGAACAGATTCAAGAGGAAGAAAATGATGAAGAAAGATTGAAGAAGATGGTTGAAGAAACTATTGAAGTCAAACTGGCAATCAATAAGTTAGTTAGCAAAGGAGCTTATCCAAGCAAAAGGGAAGAATGAAGATCTAAGAAAACAGATTAATGAAGGAAAAAGAAAAGATTTTGAAATCGATTCAATCATCACTGAACCACTACAACAGTTTTGGTTTTTACCAGCGCTTAAAAGCCTTAACAAGAGCTGATTGAATTACCAGCGCTTCTTCAAAAACGCTGGTAAATCCAGTGTCGATAGGTCTTTACCAGCGCTTTTGGAGAAGTGCTAGTAAAGGGTTATTTGAAAAAAAAAAAAAAAAATTTAATATTTTTTTTCCCATTATTGTTTTTGGAAAAAAATTTCTTCACAGCTACTAAATGCATCCTAACACAAGTCAATATAAAAATACCATCCAAATTTTTTTTACAAAAAACCACAAGTTAACCTTGCCAATATGAAAAATACCATCGAAATTGACTACTACCACCACAAGTTAAGCTAGTAAAAAATGTATACTAATACAACCACAAGTTAACCTGTCAATATGAAAATACCATCCAAATTGTCTAGATAAAGGTACTAAATGTCACACAAAAAGAATTAAGAATTTTTAACAAATGTAGTACAAGTTTTTCAAAAAGAACCCATCCAAAGCGAAGGAAATTCAAAAAGCACAGTCACGACCCCATCTTCAACTTCAACTTCAACTTCAACTAGTCTTCTTGCCCATTTAATTTGAATTACCTTACATTTTTTATAAATTCATTAAGCGCACATTATAATAAATGAAAATTTAACATATATATAAGAGAAATTAAAAGTTCATAACCTTAACTGAATTGGCATCACGACTAGAAAATGGATTTGGGGATACTCTAGAAGGAGCATTTAAAGAATCAGAATCCTTCAAAATAACAAAACAAAATACATGAAATCTTGGCATAAGTAAACATATATTTAGTAAATAGTAAAACTAATAATAAATATACTTGTCCACTATAATTTTGTTGCATCTGCATTAGCATAGCCACCTGTTGTTGTAGATTTTCCAACTTGTCGTCGTAGTTGGCTCGTAAATTTTCCAACTTGTTGTCATAGTCGGCTTGCATTTTTGAAATCATCTCCTGCAACTCTACACGTGTAGCGCGTGCCTCCTCCTGAAATTTTTTAGCATTATTAATCAGTTCAGCTTTACTAGGAGAGGGCCCCCAAACATCGCTTAGTGTAGGCCCGAAGCCAAGCATCCGCACACGACCAGTTCTCTCTTCTCCCCTCACAATGGAGAACAAATCATTGGAGCTGCCAATAGGCGAGTCAGAGTAACTTTTTTGAAGTTCTCTTATATTTTCCTGCCAAAAAAAAAAAAAAAAGTTTGAACTACCATGACATACTACTATGAAACATCCAGAAATGAAAACCCTAGATTCTAAATGAAGCACAAAAGAACTGAAATCCCAACAAGCTATGAACATGTAATGCTTAAATATACATGTGCATGTATAATATATATATATATATACACACACACCTAAGCTTTCATGACAAAAACAAAAGGATTTAAATGAAGTAAATAGAGAAAAAAAAAAAAAAATCAAATTTTTATCAAATTAGTAGTTCTTTTAATACATTATGCTAAAGTATACACTTAATAAAAAAGGTAATCAAGTCGTTATAGAAGAGGAAAAATCAAATTAGTAGTCTTTTGAGGTACCAAACATTGTGCTAAAGTATACAATATGATTACAGAAATTGCCAACTTATGAGTACTGTTGTTTATGTCTAAATTTGAATGTCCCATCTAATTGAAGAATCTAATATAGGTAATTGGACAAAAGACTTGGTGTGCAATTATTATTATAGGACACATAATTCTATGTCTTTTATTTAATTAGATTCACTAGGCAAAAGTTGTGAGGGGCATGAATCTAATTAAAGGATGGATACGAAAGCAATCTATTAGTCTTGTTTTCAGTTCTGAAAAGATTCTCTTAACAAATTAGAATTCTTTTTTTAGGTTTTTTAATTCGCCTAAAAATTTTCTCTAGTTCAGAATCGTATTTAAGTGTTGGTTTTGATAAGGAATGACAACCTAATATGCACTATGTCCAATGATAAAAGAGTAATAAAAATAAATAAATAAATAAATATATATATATATATATATATTTTGATGCCTAAACGTTTAAACACGTTCAATTTCGTTTTAGCTACATACTAATTTGGATTTTTTTAAAAAAAATTCCATTTCGATACACGTAGTCCCAATCTTACCAAATAAAAGTAATCCGAATAAAAAATTAGTCAATAAAGGTTCCTAAATTGTTGATTAATCCCCTTGGACAAGTACCATATTGTCTGATTACTTAATCCAACACTTTTTAAATGGTAAATCATATTTAATCACCAATCTCAATGCAACAGCACATATAATACGCCAATAAAAAACTATGTGTTCAAAAATGTGTGTGAAAATTGTACATCATTTGATAATTGCTCCTTAAGTATTTGAGCCGGCAGTGAATCCTGATGCAAACCAACTACAAACCACCAAGAAATTATTTCATATATTATAAAACGTTTATATCTAGGATTCAATTATTTAATACAACTTCTTGTTATCTATAATTTACGTACAAATTGCCATGCTTGATGAGATCATATTGAATACAATGGGAGAACTGTCCCAAAACAAGCAAAATCAACAATAATTACAAGTTTACAACGTTTTGATTGTTGCATGAACACGAACAGTGCCCCGTGGTTGTAAACGCTGTAAACGAACAATAATTTACGTTGTAAACGTTTTGATTGTTGCATGAACACGAACAGTGCCCCGTGGTTGTCCTCTTAGTAGGAGTTCTCCTTATCATAGGAGTCCATCTATACTTTCTATCTTTTTTTTTTTCTTTTTTTCTGGTATTTAAAATAATTGCATACTTTAAGTAGGATTTACCTGGCCAAAAACTTGACACAATGGAAGTGAATACAAACTACAAGCATGTAACTCATGATACCCATCATGATATTATTGCATGCACACTTGTTACTGTTCCAATTTATACTTCTTTAAATATATGTTCTTTTGCTTTATTAGTGGGTTGGTAATAATTACTACTAAATACTTTGGAATTAAGTACTGCTAAAAGTACGTACTGCTAAGATTCACTAGGCAAAAATTGTGTCCTAGTGAATGCTTATTCAATCAAGCATGAAAACAAGGGTTCATGTATGGGGGACACGCACTTTTGGAATAATATGCATAAAGTTCGGTTTGCATCCAATCTATAACCTTCAGCGCATATCCCATGGCAAGGTAATGGCTTTAGTTACTGATCATTGCTTTGTTAAGCTTTGTTGATTATCTTAAATTCCAATCTATTGTTTATTTGGCATAAGTTATAAAGTTAATCTGATCTCCATAATTTTATCAGCTAATTGATTGACATTATATGTTCTGTATAAATCAAATATAAAATTTTGCATATAATTAAAACGAAGGCTCCTATTAGCAAAATGCTTTTAAAAGCTAAAATAGATTCAAAAAGAAGAGAGAGATTTTACTTCTCTAATCATAATTGTTTTCAATAAAAGAAAAGAAAAAAGAAAAATAGAGGAGGAAAATTACTGTCTCAGCTGATATGATAATGTGCATCTTCTCATGCTTGGACATTTAATGAACCTGAGATAGCATTTTCAAGTTTCATCTATGAATTTGGACTGTCTCGTGTAAAGATTACCAATTTCTGTTTGGGCGTGGTGTTTTAGGAGATGTCTCTCTTTTGTTTTGGTTAACTCCTCTGTAAGCTTTGTTTTGGGTTATGCCCTGTCCAATGGGCTGATCTGTTGTCGAGTGTTGTGGGCCTGTGGAATGCCCCTTGTAATACTATACAGTTTTTTTTTTTTTTCTATTTAATCCTTACTTACCGGAAAAAAAAAATAATAAAATAAAATAAAGATTACCAATTCCTCACTGTAGCAACGCAGCATATATCAATAATTACTTGATTGGGTGAGTGATAACAATTTCTTAATTAGTTTTTTGAAGATGGAAATCTTTTCAGAACTGAAAAAAAAAAAAAAAAAAATCTGAATTGGATTAGAAATCTGCAGAGATTGAATCTGAAACAATTTTTATCAACATGCCAAGCTTTTTGAAGATGGAAATCTTTTCAGAACTGAAAAAAAAAAAAAAAAAAAAAAAAAAAAGGAATCTGAATTGGATTAGAAATCTGCAGAGATTGAATCTGAAACAATTTTTACCAACATGTCAAGTTTTTTGAAGATGGAAATCTTTTCAGAACTGAAAAAAAAAAAAAAAAAAAAAATCTGAATTGGATTAGAAATCTGCAGAGATTGAATCTGAAACAATTTTTATAAACATGCCAAGCTTTTTGAAGATGGAAATATTGTGATAAACTATCAACTCAAATTTCTATCTTCAAAAAACTTGTTTGTTGAGGGATTTACTTATTATCCTTAAAGAGTGGGGCCAAGAAAAAGTATTTGGGCAGGGAGGTATTCAGTTTTATTGAAGATAATATTGCAAAGAAAATAAGGGGATGGAAAGGAAATTTTTTTGTCGCCTAGCAGTTGAAAGGTGTTAAGAGCTATGCTTACCCTCTTATGCAATATCTTACTTCAAGCTCCCGAAATTTTTTTATGACAGGTTGAAGAAAAATGGTTTCAGTTTTGGTGGGCTGTTTGGGAGGAAAAGTTTAAAACTCGTTGAATTAGTTGGGATTGTATGGTGAAACCTAAGTCATGCGGTGGGTTGGGTTTCCGGGATGTGGAGGCTTTTAACCTTACTCTTCTAGCTTATATGGGGTGGAGATTTCAAGTGCAGAAGACTGATTTGCTGTTTGAAGTTTTGAAAGAAAAGTATTTTCCTTCCTTAGATTTTTTGAAAGCTGGGAAGGGGCATAATCCATCTTGGGTTTGGAGAAGTATCTTGGCAGCTAGAGCAGTGATGGAAAAGGGGTTGCCACTGAGGTAGGATGTAATACCCCCTAATTTCGGAACACGGGTTGATCAAGTCCGCGCACAAAATCAGGGGATATCAAACCAATTAAAGTATTTAAACAAGCACGGATTACAAAATGAAATAAAGAATAAAATAAAACACTGAAGAAATCCAATTAATAGTATATCCATTAATAACTTCCAAATGGTTACAACTCGGGAATCCCGTAACTCAAGGACCCCTTAACCAAAAGTTACTATTTAGAATTTCAACCAATTAAGTGCTAATATCAACTGAAACAAAACTAATATCCTACTTTTAAGTAAATAGAAGGAATGGATAAGTCCTCCAGCTGCGGATCCTCAACCTTGAGACTTGACCTTCTACAACCTGAAAAATAAATCGCGGGTTAAACCCTACGAGCAAGTTCTCTCTACCAAGCCTCTGAAAACCAATAAACAGATCATCTTTACCAAAACCATCCCTAATTAAGCTTTAACTTTAATATACGATGCTACAAATATATATAAATACTTATATATATAGTGCAAGAATCCTACCAGTTAATAGGGCATTAAATTGTCAAAACCACTCACCAATAATTAATTATTAGTCATACCTAGACCAAGCCCCCCCTTTTATAATTTTCTCATAAAGTAAACCCCACTCACCTTAACTCCATCCTAAACAGTAATTTAGTCATCTACACATATAGCAATTTAAATATGCACCGGCAAATCAACCATACCATTTATAAATATATTTATTTATATACTAGCAATTCAACCATGCTTCCTTCAATATATTTACTTTTACAATTAATTAGCAATTCAACCATGCTTCCCATATATGAAATTTATTCATAACCAATAAGGCAGTATATCAAAGTCTTTGGCAACTCATCCATGCCTACAATTCAACCATGTATTAATTTTAAACTTAACTCTAGGTATAATTATACATAGACTTCACATGCATATAATAAGCATGTCCTTAATTTAATAACCGTGTATCTATTACGATTTTAAATCAACCACACCATACACGAATCAAGTCATACCAAACAAGATTTATAATATTTAATAATCTTAAATAATATATATATACACATATATTTTGTAATATATATATATGTGTGTATCATACATTCCATACCAATCGTTGACTATTTAAAATCATATCTACATATATATACACATATATACACCTCCTTTCATTGCAAAAATATTTAATTAATTATATTTATACCACTAAATGCTACTAGGTATCTTAGTAACACTCTGAGGCTCTCAAAATATCAAGAACACACCCTCTAATGATTAATTTTAACCCTAACAAGCTTAAGATAAATACTGGAACTTCACCGGAGTCTCAAGCAACTTTCCAGGACCTCACACGCATCCCCACGCGCCTTCACGCGCCGCCACATAGCCCTAGACTACTCCCACGCGCCTCCACGCGCTTCCCCTTACCGGCAGGCGCGTCCACGCGCCTGCACGCGCCTGAGCCACTCTCGGCGCGTGTTGGCAGCTCCTAATTGGTTGTTGTTTGGTGCTCTTGGTAAGCCGCGATGCACTGGATCCTCTCCCTTAATCAACTACATCTAACCATTGATGCCGCATGTGTATCAACTTACAATGGACCGCATCACACCAGATCAATCCAACTAAATAAAATTAATCCTATGGCCTAGATCAACGAGTGCACCCTTTTCCTACGTACGCGACCACACTGGATAAAAATCCTATTGATGCGCAAATACTAGCCGCCTCCAGTGTGTTTGTTAAACAATTTAACATATATATATATATATATAACAATTTCTAAATTAACATTAAAAATATAAATTAATTTCAGAAATTGTTCAGAAAATCTCAGAAAAATCCCAAAAGCTCTATTTATTATTTTGGGCATAAATGAACATATACAATTAAATTAAAATCCATTTAATTTAATTAATCGTGCTACACAAGGTTAACGCAAAATATAAAAATTTTAGAAAAATAAAATTTAATTAACCTAACCTCACCTACAAGATCTAAATTATCAGAACAATGCATACATATATTCACATGTTTAATTCTATAATTTTGTAAAGAATAAATATGCTCCTCCAATCTGAATAATAATTTAATTTAATAAAATAAAATTATAATTTCGATAATCAAGGTGATAAGTTTATGAGTTCTAAGAGGAGAAGTAGAGAGGAACTCGCCTTTTCTTTTCCAAATCCGGTCTCCTCTTACGTTCTTTGATCCGGCCTCCTCTTCGTTAGCCCTTCTTCTTCTCTCTCTAATTCTCTTATTTTTCTAACGTGGAAAAACTCCTAACCCTAGAGTCTTATGTGTCTATTTATATACATACAAAAACTAAATCCTTTTCCCATTAGGATTATCATATAAAATAAATAATATTTATCTTTTAACTAAATCCTTTTCCCATTAGGATTATCATATAAAATAAATAATATTTATCTTTTAACTAAATCCTTTTCCCATTAGGATTATCATATAAAATAAATAATATTTATCTTTTAAATAATATATATACATACATATATTTTACTATAAACATATATATATTACCTTCCATATATAACCATTAGTTAAATAAATTATATATACCTATATATATCAATATATAATTATATTGACATATATACCCCTCTACATGATTTAATAATGAATTAATATACACATGTAATTATATAGGTATAATTATGCAAAGATAATTATTAAATATCCTCACAACCACGGGCCTGTACCAATTAACCCAACAAGACTTCCTTCAAGCCCAATACCACATCCGTTGGTCCAACTTCCTTTAATCCCAATACAAATAACTTAAATACCTAAAATAATGAAATTAAATTTAATAGCTACCAATAATTAACAATAAAGGTACACCAACATAAAATCACGCAAATCAAATAAACACTTCACTAACTAGCATTCCACAAATCAAACACCGTATAAATTTAACAAATAAAATTACAAAGTATATAATTTAATTAAAACAATACAATTTACCTACGCACTTAATTAAATAAAACAAATCACAACTATCAAGCACCTAATTAAATAAAACAAATCACTTAAAAATAATAATAATAATATAATATAAATTAATTTAAATAAGAAATCCTTTTTACAATATCGGGGTATTACATAGGAAATGGGAAAAGTATTTTTTGTTGGGAGGATAATTGGATTCCTCAATCAAAAAAATTTAGGCCATCCACCGTTGCTGATTTATTTTTAGGCTTTTCGAGTTTTAGATCTCATTGATGTTCGGACTAATCCTGGAAGCCTACTCTCATTTCTCAGGTACTTTGCTCTTCTGATGCTCAAAAAATTCTCTAACTTCCACTTAGTGTAGTGGAACAAGAAGATAAAATGGTATCAGGATATGATAAAAGGGGTATGTAGTAGCTTTGGAGCTTTGTAAAGGGCGGGATCAAGGTAGCAGTGAAAATCATTAATTATTTCAGAATTGAGCTTGAACTGCTTTGGTTAATTATGTGCATTTTTTCTTGAGTGTTGGATTATTGAGTATTGGCAGACTACTACTATGCACAAGGTCAAATAAGTTAAGAATAAATTTTTGATATCTATTTCATTTGAGAATAAAGATGTATTCTCCAAATTCAAAAGGTTCTTGAATTGGAGGATGTGATTAGGGTGTGGGCTATATCACTAATATTATTATGGTGATGTTATGTAATGGAGGATGCACGTTGTTTTTACATTTTTCTTATTTGGTGTGTCCTGCGAATTCGGAGGATGTATCATTACTCTTTAACAAAACTAACAAGATATCTGTAAGTTTTCACAATGATACATCATATAAGGATCTGTATTTGTTTCGGGGTGAATCTACAAATCTATAAAGCATTGTTAATTTATTTTTAAAATATAAGATATTTAAACACGTAATTAGTAATATAAGTTTCAAGCTATAAATTTTTTCTATGACAGTCTAATTTGTCGAGTGGAAGTTGTTTCCAATTAATCTGATTTTCTTCCACGACCTTGTTATAGGGCAAAGTGGTCAAATTGATTTCTAATTACATAGAGTAATATTAAAAAAGAATAAAAAAAACTTTGCCTCCCAAAGTTATGACTTATATTTCTAAATTTGTGCACCTTTGTTTTTTTCTGTAACTTGATAAGAGAAAAATTAGGATGCTCAAGCAAATATTAATGTTTTTACCTTAGAAAATCTAAATTGAAATGAAATCTATGCAAATCAATAGAGGTATGTTCTTCGAAGAGATAACAATATTACTAAATACCAATTCATCTAGCATGATTACGTTCGAGATTTATAAAGTTCTCAAATGGGTGTAATAGCATCGTTACATTGAATTATTGAAACCTTTTATACACATATTTATCTATATACTCTATAATATAGATATATAGACATAAATTTGTGGTTGAACACTTGGATCTCTTGATTTGCAATTCCCAGTTGATGAGAGGCAACAATTTATAGTGCCACAATATATGAGTAACAAATTAACACAAACAACAAACAACAAACAACAAATAGCAAATACTTCATACTTCTTCTCCACAACACAAATCAATCAACAAGAAGCCTCCACATACAATGATCCCATACTCCCATGCTTTTCAACAAATACAAGAAAGTAAATTGCCTCCACATGGGCCGATGATTTAAAAATTGGTCACTTCAAGGCACATGACCCCCTAATACAGCGTAAAGAGTTTAAAAATTGGTCACTTCAAGGCACATGACCCCTTTTTTGCAAAATGGAAGCGTGAAAACTTACAGTCATCTCCGAAGCAGCAGCATCAGTAGCTTTGCCATCCTTATTTACATGTGTGCGGATGAATAAATCTGCACGAGAAAGCTGAATACCTTCGTCTTCCTCAATCTATAAAAGAATACATTGTAATATATATTATTTACCACTAACATTTATAATCATTCAACGACATAAGAATTGAAATAATTTATATTTTCCATAAAAACTTCAACTAACCTCGGCAGAAACACGTGCAAAGCTTTTTGTCCCTGTAGTATGCATCTTTGTCTGCTTCCCACGACGTTCTTTATTTTTTTTGTTAACCTTCTACAAAAAGTGAGAAAAAGTAAAAGTTCTTTGAGCAAAGAACATTCCACCTAAAATAATGACTGAAAACATATAAACTATAAATTCAACTCATTGACTTCAAAAAACATTGTGATAGATGGAGGATTACCTTCGCCATAGGCGTACCCCAATGCCTAACCAAAAATTCCCAATGCTCCTTTTCAACATTAGGTGGTAGGTTTGCCAATCTTTCTTCATCTGTATCCCTAACTGAGTAGTATTCATTTTTTAACTCACACTTGTACCCCCTCCATTTTTTTTCGATGGAGGATATTGTCCACTGTTTTGTCATGATTCCCACATCATATTTTCCCTGAAAATGTGATAATTGTTGTATGTTAGTCCAATTTTTCCATAAAAATTATTTTAATGTTATTGAAGGGTTTTACCTATACAATGTTCCACATATCCTCCTTCAGCTGTTTAGGCATCTCCCACCAAGTTTTGTAGCACAAAAGAGCTAATTCACCCTTTCGGGCAAGTGTTCCCAGATAATTAGTTTATGTACCACTCCCAGGACCGATCGGCTGTCCAAACTTATTAACCCTAAACAAAAATTAACAATTGTAGATGTTTAGTACAAAAATAAAGATAGAAATCCTTTTTTCTCCTTCATATTGCATATAGTCTAATTATGTAAACTATATAAGATGATCTATATATATATGTACCTTAAAGGTAATAAGGTTTTCGCGTCTATGATATTCTTGCATCGTGTCGGACCCCGTCTCTTCTTCGGCGGTGGTTGGGATGATTTTGAAGTTGAAGCTTTGGTATTTTGTTCACTCACTTTTTCCACTTCACTAACCGTTCGTTTCATTGTCAACTTATTATTTATCCTTCCTAGAAAAGCAAACAAAAAAGTGAGAATTCAGTTAAGAGAATGCAATCAAATTGTTAAAAAAAGACAATAAAATTGTAATTCAACACAACATCTAAACATCAGCACTGGCAATTTAATAACTATGACATAGTGGTAATTATTGACTCTTGTTCCAGGTCAAAGTATTAAGTTGGATCCAATGCAACTGATTACAAGCCAATCTGTAATGCCATCGAGAATCGATGAATAAAATAGCTAATGGACGATAGATATATAGTTGAGCAAGATCAACAATTCAGTCGAAATCTTTGCTCGAAGACGGCATGATGGCTTGGTTTGTTCAAAACAAACCATGCCGGAGAAGTCATCGGGAGTTTTGAAAGTTTTGGTATCTTTTAAATTGATGAAAGAAGATGAAGAAGGAAATGTCAAAGCCATTCTCTTTTTTCTTGGTGTTTTGAAGAGATAAGAGAGGGATTTGTAAGAATTGATGAAGGCATTGAGGGTATATTTATAGAAGAAAAAGTATATTTAGGTTTGAAGGAGACGATGTTGGTGGGCTCTAGTTTAAAAGGGAAAAAGTGCAAAAATCATTATCTGCTCACCTTTTCAAAGTCATATTTCTTAATGTGCAATTACCATTTCAAGTCATACTTCTTCATGTGCAAGTTAAATGCAGGGACTGAAAAGGGATGATTTTTTATTGGTTTTAAATTTCTGTGGTCACTATCAGATATATGTCTCTGTTGTGGTATATTCTATGAAGAGTAAATTAGTAATCATAGAGTTTTTAATTTGCACAAAGTAGTTCTTGTACCCCACATATGACTTTTAGGACAGTAAAGGTTTCTTTAATCTCATGAGATTGTGAAGTATCAGCTCTAGGACTTGCACATTGATTATTTAATTACCGACCTGTCTACAATATCTTGAGATGATACAGCCCCTCGAAGATATTTTGGGCTTATATTAGCTACACCTGTCGTAGTTTAGATTAAATTTTCAGTGCTTTATGGTCATTTAGTTTAAGTTGGTCAATTGGCCATTATATAGGTTTATCTGCGTGCCTCAGATTAGATAAAAGATGTAGATATTTTAGACTGTATTAATGTGCCATTATTGGTTTATCTGCTTACCTCAGATTAGATAAAAGACGTAGATATTCTAGATTGTATTAATGTGCCATTATAGGTTTATCTGCATGCCTCAGATTAGATAAAAGATATAGATGTTCTGGATTGTATTAATGTGCCGACCAAAGGTGTTATTTTTTTCCTATTCCCTCTATTTTCAAAATATTCTTACTCAAATTTAAGTTTGCCAATTTGTTTGAGATCATTTTGTTTACCATAAATAGTATCTTTTATACTTCTATTTGAACGTCTAGCTCCACCTCCACTTCTTCAAGATACTATGATAACACTTCTATTACCGTGCTATGCTAACCTTACAATGACTTTGCTAATCATTATTTTTTCTTAGTTGGTACTCTCTCACACACACATGCCTCGTAAACAATTTCTCATACCTCAATAACTTTTGTTCCTTCAATTTTGATTTAAAAAATAAAGTGGGAATTTGCACATATAGCTACAGGAGAAAGGAAATTAGGTGGTCAGTTTCCTCCAAATATTCGGCCATATATCTTGGTGTATAATATAACAATGGACGGTTTAGCTTTCGCCACAACCTGCAAACCCCACAAACTTAGCTAAGTTCCCTTTGGTCGACATATATATGGATGAAAAAACATTTTAAATTCTCAGTGTTGTTTGCATTTGGTTGGTTTAGGATAACATTATTGGAGGGTTTTTCCAAGGAAAAGTGTGTGGTGGTAACAAATTCTGAAAAACATTTTAAATTCAGAATTTCCTTTTTATAGCAAATTAATCTCAACTAAGAGTTACAACAAATTATAAAATAATCAAGTAATACAGTACTTAAGACACAATAACAGTAATATAGAATAAAATCAGTGGTCGGCCCTATAGTAACAATAAAAAATCATGTAGTTAGAAATTTTATCCCACTACGGAGAGTAATTTTATATTCATCCGTCTAAGTCGACATTGATGATTGCACGATTGCACTAATTCTAATCATGAAAGAAATACATTCCAAATATAATGAATAAGTATAACCCAGAAAAGCACGAAACTTGAGCATATATTCATCAACGCATGTCTGAAGAGGGGAAAAAATTTTATACACAGAATATAAAATTAATAAACCCTAAAACAAATTTGCATGTATATATATATGGAGGCGAATTACAAATAGATATGAATAAATTTTGAACCTTTTCTGAATTCAGCGGTTGAAATCAAAGATCCAAATCCTCCAACCTCGACCTGGATTTTCATTGATAAATTTATTGACGAAACTAAAAACAATAATTTTCCCGGCAACACAAAACAACTAATATCTGGAAACCCAATTTGTAAAAGCTACGAAAATAAATAGATCTACCTGAAATGTGAAACGATCGCAATCGAGGCTTTGAAGTCAATGGATATAATAGACTGAAAAAATTATTTCAATCAGAACCATAATAAGAATCATAAACCAAAAATTAGAAAAACCTAAAGATTATTTTAGTTATGGAGATTTCCCTATATATATATATATATATATATATATATATATATATAATATCGACAAAGAGAAAGCTTCAAGAGAAAGGGGGTACTTACCACCAAGAGAGAGAGGATGAGTAGGATCCGTAAGGGGAAGAGAGAGAATTTGAAATTGAGGTACTTCCGTTAATTGGGGGTTCACTTGCTACACCAGTTAGGGAAGGGGGAATGTGATGTTCACCGGATACACTATTGACTTAGTGACTGAACTAGGGGATCCATCTTGTTTATCGCCGGATAACTCTATGAAACAGAAGGGACGGGACGGGCAGGACGAAGAGAGTTACCTCATAGGGAAACGGAGATTGAGATCGTTTAGATGGAGGTTTTTCAGATGGAAAAACGGCCTCTGAAACGCAGGTGGAAGAAGTGCTTCAGCTGAGAAATGGTGGTGGAGAGAGAGGGATGAGAGAGAGAGAGCCTACGATGAGCTAAAGTAATGGAGATCGAGCATGAGAGATCAAGACGGAGCAGATCGAGATAGCAGAGAGGAAGAGAAGGCTGAGGGACGAACCAAAAGGGGAGATGGATAAATTAGGGCTAAATCAAATTGAAATGGAAAAGTGGAATATAGTGTTTTAATGGAACAAAAGAAAACGACGCAGTGTAGATATATAATATCCTACATACATAAATAAGCGGGGGTGAAAAGTGGAGGGAAGGAGAAAAAATTGGAGGGAATGGAAGGGGCTATACCAGCGCCTTACCTTGAATGGGCGGTACTGTAATACTAATACTAGGGCTTTTTCTTAAAGCGCTGGTACTGTAACACCAATACCAGCACTATTCTGTTAGTACTCACCAACATCAGCGCTTCAATAGAAGCGCTGGTACTGTAACACCTACACCAACGTTTCTATTGAAGCGCTGGTAATGTAACACCAATACCCGCGCTTTTCCTTAAAGCGCTGGTATTGTAACACCTACACCAGCACTTCAGTAGAAGCGTTGGTACTGTATCACCTATACCAGTGCTCTTACCAAGAGCACTGGTAAAAGACTAATATGTTGTAATGAGCTTACCAAGAAGATCATCATTCTTGAAGATAAGATAAGTAGTGCTAACTTCTTGAAAGAATATCTTTGTCTAAAAATTGATTATCTTGAACTTGAATTGCAAACTGCACAAGATAAACTGAAAGGTTTCACTATGGGTCAAGTAAATTTGAACAAGATGATCAACATGGGTAAGATTGTGAATGATAAAACTGGGTTATGTTTTGTTAAAGGCTCATCTAGTAGTCAAGGTAAAACAATTTTTGTTAAACCTGCTGATAATTCTATGCCTGATCTATGTTTGCCTGAGGCATTGCATTATGATATGTCTTATGTGCTTATACTGTTGCATTACACTTTTTGTGGTAAGAATGGACATAAATATCACTCATGTTTTCATAGGAAAAAGAAATATTTTTCTAAAATCCATTCTCATGATGTTCATGCAAAGAAAAATGTGTGTTCTAAGAATAAAAAGAATTTTGTGTCACTTAAGAATTCTAAAACTGAAAATTTGCCTAAGAAAGAGGTAAAATGTGAAAAAGAATTTCAGGAAGTGAGAGTGAAAACTATGTGTATCAAAAAAGTTGATTTGATCAATTATATGCCTGTTAAGTTCGTGAAACTAGTTTCCAAAAGGACTTCACCTTCAAACTAAGTCCTAGGATATTTAGTGATCATGGTTTATGCTTACATTCAAATTTTGTTACCATTGGATCACTTGTTAGGGTTTGGTTTATGTGTTGAGTTTTGATCATATTCATCATGATACATGTGTGAAAATTCTTTCAATGAATTTATAATCTATCTTTGAACGCAAATTAAGACACATGATGATTTGATAAAAATAGATTATTGGCTTCTAATCTATACAATGAAAGAAAATTTGCATTGATTGGGAGATTTTTAGATTTGAATCTCTTGAGTTCATAGTTTTTGTGCACTAGTCCATATTTGAAAATTTTGATTGAAAATCTTTGAATTGTTGACTAGGATTTATTGATCACAAATACTATAAAGGTTATTATTTGAAGAAATAAAAATAGGAGCTTAAAAAAAATGAAAATATTCAACATAAAAAGAAAAGAAAATTAAAAAATTGTTGAATTCATTGTTAAGGAAAAGGCTACCTATTGAGAATTGATCGAAAGCTCCCATTAGACTTTGAAGATGAGCAATTGAGTAAAAAGAAAGGTAGAGATAAGTTAAATTGGGGTATTGTTGTCTGTTCTTTAGAGTGAAAGCCACCTTACTTAGAAAAACTGCTCAAAAATAATTTTATCTTGATGTTTTTTGATCCATATGGTTTAGACAATAATTTGTTGAAATTCAATTGAAAATTGATGAGATTGGGTTTCACACACACACATGAACTTGCTAGATTAATTTCTAAATTTTTCAACAAAATTTGCAAAGTGGATTTCATATTGTGATTACTTTCTGAGAGTTAAAAATATTTGAAAAATCTGTGGAGTCAAAAATTTGTGCACTTAGATACTCTTTAAAATTCCCTGAAAAGTTTTGAATCATGTGTTGACTCGAAGAATTAAATGATCAGTGATTTGTTGCTTTTAAAATAAATAAAAAAAATTGAAAATTTTGAAAAACTCAAAAAGATTTTTGATTTTTTTAGTTTTTAGATTTTTTGTGTTTATTTTAATCACTGAGAGTTTTCGAAAATTCTGGAAAAGAAAAGAAATTTTTCTTGTGCCTTGAACAGGTTCCAAAGTGGCTGAACCAGCTCAAGAGGTCCTTGGTTTCAAACCAAAAGGATTGTAAGTCTTTAACCGGTTCCACTTACAAAATTTTGGATTGATAATCCATTGCAAATTTTCAGTAATCATTCTGAACACAATCCAATATCTTAGATAATTGTAAATTGTTGTAGCACCAGGACACCCGGTCCACTGTCATTAAACGTCTATAGTCCTCACCCAACACCCCACATTCATCATACTGAGGACAGAGCAGTGAATCACATGATATCAATCGTCGATCTACATATGATGACAAGGTTTAGAAGACTGACGCACTTCACTACATCGAGCCAGCCTAGTTCTTGGTCTCTCTCCCCCAGCCAGTACCTGACCCCTCAGGCATTGGTCGTCCAAGACCAATGCCCGATCATCCAAGACCATAGCCTGGTAGGTCTCTACACACTAGGAGGACTTTAAGTCCAATAAAGTTTCTTCAATCAATGAGTTCACCACGTCCAAGGTGGTCCCATGCCCAATGAGCTTTTTAACTATCGAGCACCAAGGATGGTCTCTTCTAACAGAAACCAAGCCTAGTCTCGTGTACATCAAGTTTAGCGGGTCTCTGCCACTATACCTACAATGCAGGGCGAGCATAAAGGATAAGCTCACGAAACTCAAAAATTTTACTCCCTTATTAAAGGGCAAGCTCATTGAGCTATATATATATATATATATATATATATATATATATATATATATATATAGCATATTCCCTTATTAAAAGGAAAGCTTAGAAAGCTCGGGTCACACGTCCCTTTATTAAAGGGACGAGCGGAGTGAAACTCGTAAAAACTATCCCTTTATTAAAAGGGTGAGCTGAGTAAAGCTCTAAAAAATTAAACCCGTTATTAAAACGGCAGGCTGGGTGAAGCTCGAAATTATTACTTCCCTTATCAAAGGGGCGAATTGAGTGAAGCTCGTAAAACACATATAAATATATATAGTGTGTTGATTCCCAAAGGAATCCAACTATCACCGTCCATTGGTGTTGTTGAGAGTAGGATTTGAACCCATACCTTTAAATGGTTGCTCACCTTGGGAATAATAGCTGAGGCAGAACTGTTCACCTCGGGAACATTACCCCATGGTAAAGTCGAAGTAGAACTATTCACCTAGGGAACATTACCTCGAGGTAAAAAAAATTATTGTTCACCTCGAGAATAGTACCTGAGGTAGAACTGATAACCATATACGTATTATTTCCAAAGAGAATAAAGTGATCATGTGGTTGTATTTGTATGTCGCCTTCAGGAATTTGTAACCCAGACAAAAAAAAAAAAATGGATTCCAAAGAGAATCAGGCAATCACGTGGTGGTGGGATTTAAATTCACACCCCTTTCACGTGAAAACTTTTGGATACCTCGGGAATAGTAACCTGAGGTAATAAAAAAAGTCACGTATTTTCACATCGGGAATAGTACACTGAGGTAAAAAAAAAAAAAAAAAAAAAATTGACCTAGTATTCACCTCAGGAAATGTAACTGAGGTGAAACTGTTCACCTCAAATTCCAAAGAGAATCAAGCAATCACGTTACCTCCGACAAAAATCAGGGTGGAATTCGAACTCACGCCCTTTCATGCCACAACTTTTGGCACATCGGGAATAGTATTCGAGGTTAATATATATATATATATATATATATATATATATATATATATATATACTCCAAAGAAATTTGTCATTTCTCAACGAAAAGTTGTGCAAGGTGGGATTTGAACTTACGGCCTTTCATAACATTTGTCAACATTGGGAATAGTAACCGAGGTAAAAAAAAAAAATCATGGGAATAGTACTCGAGGTACTATTCACGTCAAGAATAGTATCCCCAAAAAAAAAAAAAAAAAACACTTTGATGTTTCCTAGTTTGACATTTTAATATTTCTTAATCTGTTTCGAACAAGGAAATAAGGGCAACTAATGGGAAAAAAGTAACCCAAATTTTGACCAACATCTTGACCAATGAGTTCTTTTTTACTCTTTTTCATAGAAAAGAGGATAACAACAACATACACTAAGGAGGAGGATGTTATGATTCAGTTAACGAAAAGTAGGAGAGTCAGTTAAGGAAGATAAACCAAATCTCCCCAATCGAAATCTACGCAACTAATTGGATGCAACGACCCACTCCACCACATGGTATGATATTGTCCGCTTTGGGCCTGAGCCCGCACGGTTTTGATCTTGGGCTTTACCCCAAAAGGCCTCATACCAATTGGAGATGACACACTTACATATAAGCACTTCATCTTTCCTCTACCCAGGCGATGTGGGACTGTACACCCGTAGCTCGCCAGTGTGGTAGCCTGACCGTGTCTCTCGCACCCGCCCACGGCACACCCTCCCACAAGGTCATCATAATCCACCCCCCTTAGAGGCCCGACGCCCTCGTCGGCACACTTCCGGCTGGGTCAGGCTCTGATACCATTTGTAACGACCCATTCCATCACATGATATGATGTTGTCCGCTTTGGGTCTAAGCCCGCACGGTTCTGCTCTTGGGCTTTACCCCAAAAGGCCTCATACCAATTGGAGGTGACACACTTACATATAAGCACTTCACCTTTCCTCTACCCAGGCGATGAGACCTTTTGGGGTAAAGCCCAAGAGCAAAACCGTGCGGGCTCAGGCCCAAAGCAGACAATATCATACCATGTGATGAAGTGGGTCGTTACAAATGGTATCAGAGCCTGACCCAGCCGGAAGTGTGCCGACGAGGACGTCGGGCCTCCAAGGGGGGTGGATTGTGATAACCTTGTAGGCGGGTGTGCCGTGGGCGGGTGCGAGAGACACTGTCAAGTTACCACACTGGCGAGCTACGGGTGCACAGTCCCACATCGCCTGGGTAGAGGAAAGGTGAAGTGCTTATATGTAAGTGTGTCATCTCCAATTGGTATGA